ACTTCTCTTGCAAGCACTGGGGGCGGGAAATATCAAAAAAAGGCCTCGCCTTCGGCGCGCCCCGCCCTCGGCGGAAGCCCGGCGGAAGGGCGGCGGAAGGCGGCGGAAGTAAAACGGCGGCGGAACCGCCGGCGGAAGCCGGCGGAAGCTCGGCGGAAGGCGGCGGAAGTAAAAGGAGACGTCAACGTTTTCTGGTTCAGGGTTTCCGAAATCTGCCGTAGATCATCGCTGTTTTTCCATGGCCGCTCCTCGCAGCTCCAAGTGTTCTCAAGTAAGTGCCTTCTCGCTCGCTCCAGATAACCTCTCGAAGCCTCAGGTTGGCCCCGACCGAGATGGCCTAGCGCCCCAAGGGCTCAGGGACACGAGATCTGAATAAGTTGGCGGGGGCGCGCGGGGCGTCACTAGGGGGAGGGGGGCCATCATCATCACCATCGTCGTCATCACCACCATCATCATCATCACCACCATCATCACGAGCATCATCAGCAGCATCACCAGTCACCGCCGTTCACCACGTATCCCATTGGTCCAAATTTGAGCCATCACCAAACAAACAACTTGAGAAGGCCCAGTCCAAAGTCTCATCCGCCCTATTCCCGAGAATGGGGGTAGGCTGGGGGGCCCTGAGCGGGCAGAGACTCGTTCGGTGATTCGCTACATCTGGGAACCCGCCCCGTCGCCCCCCCCCCCGCTCCTCCTCAGCCGCCGTCCCGCCTTGTCCTCTGCATTCCTACGCCTCCTCCTCGTCCCCCACTCCTGATCATCATTCCTGCTCGTCGCAATTTCCCCCTTAACCCTCTCGCCCCCATTTTATTGCGCCCGTGCGCGGCCCCAGCCTGAGCGTGCTTCTCGGTGAAGGCCAAGCAAAAGTACGTAACGCCCGCCTCGATGCACCCCTCCCCGTAAAGGCCCGGCCCTGGGCTGATGTCGAAGACGTGGGCCACGAAGAATCGGTGGTTGATCTCGCTGTAGAACGTTCTCGGCATCGCGTTCATGAACACCACCTCCATGTCGCTGTTCTCCCGCTTCTTGCCAACGTTCTGCCCTTCGACCTTGCCGCCGACGGCAAAGCGATAGTTCTTGCCGTAGATGAGCTTCTTCTCTGCGAACGTAGCCTTCCACTCGTCGGCCTCAGCGTCGAGCACGACGGGGCCGATGATGGTGCCCTGGTTGGTGCCGCACCCCGGGTAGTGCTTGCTGTCGCGAGTCGGGAGGTTTAGGGGCGCCGAGCTGCAGCGATATATCGTAGAATTCTGCTTGATGTTGGCAACGCCGCGCACCAACTTCTTGCGGTCCCGCAGGGATTTCTCGTCCTTGAAGACAGTGATCGGCCGCTCCACGAAGCCTGACTTTGCGTCGTCCTCATCGTCGTCAGCATCAATGGCGACATCCTTTTCGCCGCCATCGGGGCTGTCGTCTTTCTTTTCCTTCACTTCCTTGGTCGTCCCCTGCTTCCACGGCGCCATCAAGCCTTTCGCAATGCCCGGCTTGCCACAGTCCGACAGCACGACAAGTTCGCCTGGGTTGAGAGTGGCGACGTCCACGCCGTCCTTCTTCCTGGCCTCCAGAATGGCCGCCACTATTTTCTTGCAGTGCTTCTCCTGGAATGGCGGCCCGCGAAGATGCGGGGCAGTGACGCTCTCCCCGAACACGTCCGGGCTGAAATGAAACAAGAAGAGGCCAGACATGCACGCTGACCCCGCGCGACGCGGGGTTCACAAGGTTTCTGCGTTATCATCGTCTTCATCGCTCTCCTTCCCCTTCCCCCCCCCCCTCCTCCTCTTCATCCTTCTCCTCTGCCCCTCGGGCCCACTGGGGTTGCCGGCGTGCCCCCCGGGCCCCAGCGCGGCCTGTCGCATGATTACCAACCATCCTGTGGTGTTGTGTCCTCGTTTTGAAGAGCCAACGCCCCGCGTTCTCCTCGCTCCTCCTCTTCCCCGTCCTCCCTCTTCTCATCGTCATCATCATCGTCATCATCGTCACCATCATCGCAGCCACCATCACCATATCGTCATTATTATCATCGTCGCTACCACTCAAGCATACCCCTCACACGTGTCGTGGCCCTATAATAGGGAGCCCCACCGAAGGCCTCAGTAGGGGCGCCCGCGTGCTTCCGAAGGCCCCAGAGGCGCCCGCATGCTTCCGAGGCCCCATATTGAGCTTCACCGAAGGCCCCAGTGGCGCAGTTCGCATGCGCCAGCGCCACCTGTCGCCGCACCCCTCACGTTTCGCGACACCCCTCCCCCTCTCCTTCGCCCCACCTGCCTGCGGCATTCGCACTTGCATATGGTTGGGTCTTTCGCCGGGCTAGTTTTGTTCGGGCACAAGAGGGCCCCGCGACGAGCTAAGAAGGCCTCATGATCATGAGGCCCCCAAGACGGCCCAAGAAGGGCCGACGCGTCAAACCATCGCTCCGAGATGCCCAAGATGGCCCCGCGGCTGCCCAAGAGGCTTCGAATACGTTCCAAGATGCCTCCAAGAAGTCTCGGGCCCCGAGAGGCCAACATTACGTGTTTGAATAGGTTTGGCGTTCAGGCCTTGTCGGGCTTTCCGAAGCCATTTTGGCTGGATCGAGCAGCGTGGATTGCGCCGCGCCCTTAGGCCTTCCTCTTCTTAGAAGGTGCTGCTCGCATGGCGAGGCGACGGGCTCTCCGGGACCTTGAGGAGGCGTTGGACGGCTTCGAACAGTGGATGCTGAATGGCAACAAGTTCGCCCTGAAGACTACGAAGCGCTACAAGCTATTCGTCAGGGCCATCATGAAGGACGAGGTTTCGCAACTCGAATCTTTCACCGAAGCAGTTGCAAAGGCGCAGCGCAACGACTTCATTGACAACGTGAAGGAGATGTACCAGTACAGCAAGGGCCAGCACACTGGCGCACTAAGAGCCTTCAGCCAGCACACGAAGAGCGACGACGACGCGGCGGCGCCACCACCAGCCAAGAAGATCAAGCAGAAGAAGAAGAAGAGGAGGTCGTTGTCGTCATCGTCTTCTTCTTCGTCGTCGTCATCTTCTTCTTCGAGCTCCGAGTTGTCGTTCTTGGCATCAAGTACGAGCTCCGAGTTGGTGTCTGCTTCCGACAGCGAGGGCTGCAGCGCGCGGGCGCCGCCTCCGCCGCCGCCGGGCACGAGGAGGATCGGGCGACGAAATCTATATATACATATCCACTGCTCCCCGGCCAGGCCCAGCCTGAACCGGGGAGCTGCGCATACGCCCTCCTGGCCGAGCCAGGGGGGCGCGACGCGTACACCGCTGCTGGGTCCAGACTGGGCCTGGCCAGGGAGCAGTGGATATTATGTATAGATTTCGTCGCCCTACAGGAGGACCGAGCCCGCGGCGCCGCCGCCCCCGCCGCCGCCGCCACCCGCCCCGCCACCGCCCGCGGCGACGCCGGCCATGCCACCGGCGCCGCCGGCACCGGCCCAACAGCTGCCGACAGCGCCGAAGCCCCCCCCGCCGGGGCCCCCCCCGCCGCCGCCGGCGGCCGGGCAACAACTGCCGCCAGCAGCGCCGACGGCAGCAACAACAAGGAGGCGGGTGGCCCCGCTTCACGGACCCAGCCTCCTGTTGCGCGGCCCTAAGCCGACCGGCATTCTGCGCAGCGGTGAGAAGAAGAAGAACAACTCGTCGTCGTCGTCGGCGACGCACATGATGGTGGAGGAGGACATTGGCCTGCTCATCAGGAGTAAGGACTCCGTCGTCAAGTTGGAGTCCTACAGGGACGACCTGAGGAAGGATCAACTGTGGTGGACGCCGCCAGCTGAGCACAATGTCCAGTGCAACATGTGCGTCAAACGGGTGCCCAAAGACGAGGGGGAGCTCTACCCGATCGCTGGTAGGACGATGTTCGCTTCGTACGTCTTCTATTGCCCCTCGTGCCTGGCCAAGATCAAAGGATGCACCAGCAGCAACGCCGCGGTGACCTTCGGCGTGCCACGCGCGGAATGAGGGGGCTGGCGCGTCGGTCGCACAGCTCTGGAGGCTCGGCCAGCAGTAGGGCGGCCGCCTGCCAGCCTGGGCGTCTCCCGCGACGCGCGAGCACCTTCGCCAGGAGCACCCGCGAGAACTCCGGGATGCCTCGCCGCAACTGCGACATCGTTTCGTCGCCGCAGAACGTCCATCACAATCGACATCGTCATCCCTCATCCTCGACGCATTGCCTGGATCATTCGGGGTTCGCGTGGAGCTGGGGGGTTCCTGGGCGCGGGGCCTCATGGGCCTCCTATCGTGCCCTCCCCCTGCCCCCGGTCGCGTCTTGAAACCCTACGGGGCCTCGATCGGGGCTCCGCTGGAACCGTCTCGTTGGTCGTTTTCGGTAATATAGCTTGGCACCGTGCGCGCCTCGAAGTTCGTTGCTGGGCACTACTAAGATATTACTATTGAAGTGGGCTCGAGTAGGCCACTGTCCAACGCTCAAGACATCCCCGCAATCTGATTGCGAGCGAGCAGGTGCAATGCCCTCCGGCGCCACCCCAGAGTCAGCTTCTCGGACCTCTCCAAGATCTCCGACGTGGCCCCGGGGGAAAGCTTGGAGGGCCCCGGAAGCGCCCCCCCCCCCCCCTCTCCAGACGGGGCCGCGGCCCAGGAGAGCCATAGACGGAAATCAATCATCCAACCCACTTTTTTAATTTAGATACAAATTGCCGTCCGTCTCATTCCTCGTTCCGTCCTTCTTCCTCGTCTTCCCTCCTCATTCGTCGTCTGCCCCCCCGTCCCCCCTTCCCCCCTTTCCCCGCCCCCTGCTCGAACGGCCTTCCCCCGCGGCCCGGAGGACCGATCGCCGTGGCCCACGACGAGGAGCGCGCGGCGGCCGGGCAGCGGCGAGGAGGGCGTCGTTGCGACGACGACGAGACGACGAGATGGGGCGAGAGAGAGGGGGGATCTGAAGGAGGACAATAAGAAGGAGGAGGAGGAGGAGGAGGAGGAGGAGGAGGTGAGGAGGAGGAGGGGGAGAAAAATGGGGAGGACGATCAGCGTGAAAGTTCAGGCTCGCAGGCTCAAACACCGCAGCAGCGAGAGGGTAGCGGAGCACCCGGGAGGGCCAGCGTATCTCCTTTAGCCATGGCCATCGCGCTTGACTTGATATCCTCGATCATGGTGGCCATGTTCGCCGGCATGGTGACGACCCTGGTGAGCGACCGCGCGATGCGCTCGGCCATGCCCAAGTACTTCTTGCATTCATCAGCCCTCGGGTCGGTGACATCCGTCGGGATCTTCTCGGTGATGAACTCGTTGATGGCGTAGACCTGCGTTGTCGGGCCACTCTCCTCCACCTGGTGGTCGCCGGTGCGGCTGGCGGCCGCCTCGCCGTGCATCGGCGTTGCTGCCGCTCCATCGGGGTCCATGGCGATCGCCTGCTGCTGCTCCTTCTTCAACTCCTCCTTTAGCTCCGTCAGGTCTTCCTCGAACGCCGTGTATTCAGCAAGATATTCCTCAGGCCCCTCGGCGTTCTTCGCCGCCGTTTTCAAGGCGGTGTCGAAGTCGTTCCCGAACACAATCTTCTCCCAGAAAGCGACGGCCAACCGAAAGGCATTGCGCCGCTTCGTGCCTGCGCCGCTCACGTAGAGGCTAGAAATGTCGACCGACGATGCACCTGGGTAGTTCGTCAAGGTCGCCCGCGCCGACTCGTGGCTGGCGAACGCGTTCCTGCACCAACCGATCTCTTCAGCCGTGAACGCGTTGCTGTGGGCCCACTGATTGAGGAAGTAATCCCTGCTGCTCAACATAATCAGGGCGAGGTCGCAGATCCACGTGTTCATTTTGGAGATGCTGCAATCGGAAAGCTCAATGAACTCCATCGATAGTGCGTCCAACAAGTAGTTGTAGCACCACTCGATGTTGAGGGCAGTCTTGCACCTGTTGATCACGATCTGGAACTTCCCAATCCCAAATGTCGGTCCAGCGTGCTTGTAGTGGCGGTCCAGAGTGTTGATGGTCTCCGCGATGCCCTTGTGGCGAAGGGCTCTTTCTTGGACAGTATTCGCAATGTCGATAAACGAAGAGGACAGCTTCTCGCTCTTGGCAGCCAGGTGAACTTTCTTCTCGAAGTGCGTCTCCAACTGCTTCTCTGTGGGATCCTTACCCGTTGCTAGTTTCAGCATGTACTTCTCTCGTATCACAATTTGGATCCGTTGCAGCGTCGTCCACGACACGATGTGCGCCTCATCCTTCGCGTCCTCCCGGAGCGTGAACGCGGCGGTGGCGATGTCGGCTTGGTTAACGCGGTACACCTCGGTTGGAACCTGTCGGGGGCGGCCAAGAGGGGGGTGTCCAAGAGGGGGGGGGCAAATCATGACGGGCGGCATGTGCGCGGCCCAGCGGGGGGGCCTGGGGCGTAATGAAATAAGAAGAGGCGCCATGAAATCTGAAGAAAAATCATGGCCCGCGCCATGAAATCCCCCCCCCCCTAGTCATCACACCCCTCTTTTCCGCTTCCGAAACCTGGCGGAAAAGCTTCAACCAGTCCCGGGCCCGGGCATCCGTCATCGTGCCAGTGTCCACTTCATCGGCGCAGGCCTTGATGGGGGCGTGTAATTTCTCGAAAGCGCTCAAACTCTGCAACTTCTTTGCCACGAACGGCTCGGTAGAGTGTTCCGTCAGTGCAATGGCAATCGTGCGCAGCTTAGAAGGCAGCGCCGACGTTTTCTTGAAGTCGCGCTTGATGAACAGGTCCACGTCGCTCATGTTGATCTGGACACCTGGCGTGGGGTTCATCAGCGTGTCGATCCATGCGAGAGGGACGGAACCAGTGCCGACGACCGTCGCCCCCTCGATGTTGGCGTCCATCGACTCGAGCTTCTTCGCGACAACGCCGATGTCGATCGGGGGGACCACCGCGCCATCGCTAACAGCGACCGGCTCCACGCTGTCTGCGAACGCCGTCTGCAACACGACGTGCTGCTTGATGGTGGCCAGCCGCTTCTGCACATGAGTGAAGTAATCTGCGTTCACGCCTGACAGCTCGGGCACCGCCGTCGTCTGCTCGTCGTGCGGCGACTCGGCGGGGTCAGCAGAGAGGGGCGTCGACGTGGCCTTCGCCTTGGGCCTTTTCGCCGCGGAGGCGCCGGCATCGGTGGCGGATCGTTTCTTTGGGCTCATCGACAGCGCGGCTGGCGCACAGTCGGGGGGGGCCGCCTGCAAAGTCGCCCGCCGGCGGCCTCGCCCTGCTGAGTTAGGTTGGCTGCGATGATAGTTACGTTGGCGGTCTGTGACCGGGGAGACAAAAAGGGCAATGAGGGCGCAGAAGGAATGAGGGATGCGGGCGGCAGGGCGGGCCGCGTGAACGGACGCAACTTCTGGACACGCTCGATTTCGGTTGGTTTTGTGTCAAAGCGTTCCGGAGACTCTCTCCCGGAACGCACTCCGCAACGCCTCCAGCCTCCCAGGGCGCCCCAGCGTGCCGGGGTCTATCCGCGTGGCCCCCGAGGTCCAAATCAGCCAACGCGCCCACATACCCCAGAAGAGAAGGTTGTCCAGAAGTTGGCCCCCCGGCAACGGTGGTAGTAGTAGTAGTTGCGCCACTCGGCCCAAATTTCCCCGATGCCTGAGCGCGCGCCAAATTGATTTGGAGCCCGATGACGTTTGCCCGAAAATTAAGGTCCCAAGGGCCGCCCATCATCCCTGCAATCCAGCGCTCGCGACATCGAGAGGAGTGTCGACATGGGCACCGCGGGACGACCCGGGTCCAAAAACGTTGTTGACATCTCTGGGGGGGATGGAGGGGCGGGATATATTTTGCTTCCGCCAGCCTCCGCTGGCCTTCCGCCGGACATGAGAGGTCAAGTAGTCGCCCCCTCGACGGCGAGGCCCTGTTCGAAGCCCGCCATTTGCCTGGCTCTTCGGATCGCAGGGCAGGGCTATGGGTTGATCTGGGCAAGAGGCAGGGCAGGGCGATGAAGCATGCGCGCGAGGTTTGGGTCGCTGCAGTTTCGGGGGAAACGTAGTGCCGTGTGTTTAAAGGGATTTGTTTTGGGAGGGAGTTGGGAGGGGGGGGGGGAGCGGAGAAGGAACAGGGACAAGGAAGAGGCGGAGGGGGGTAGATGCGGAGGGAGGGTGGGGAAGCGGAGGGGGTGGGAGGGCGGAGCGGGAGGGGGGGGGGGGGGGGGGGGGGGGGGGGGTGGGGGGGGGGGGGGGGGGGGGGGGGGGGGGCCGGGGTGGGAGGGTGGATGTGACCGCAAGCAACCGCTTAATCTCTTCTTATCTTTAATATTAATCTCTTCGCTAAAAAAACTGGCCCGATGGCAGCGCCGTCGTTGTTGACGGCCCGCGCGGCCTGCCGACCTGCGGGCGGACGCCCGCCGCTAGCAACCGATCTGCTTTACCTTCGTCTTCTTCTGGTTGTACCTATCTGGCAAGCGGCGGGTCGCCAATCCAGACGCCCACAAGGCCTTCTGAAGCACCCGTTCCATGATGTTCACTGGGATCGTGTTGCCGATCATCGCCCCCATCTGCCCGGCTGACACTTTTGTTTTGCAGCTCGACCACGCAGCCAGCTTCTCCGGCAAATCGCAGTCGATGCCAGAGAGCTCAAACAGTTCTGGGAGCGTGACGCGTCGGCCGCGCACCGAGATCCAATAGTCCAATGCATTTGCCGCAAATAAACATGCCGGGAGAAAAAAAAAAAGAAAAAAAATAAAATAGAATAAAAAACAAAAAAAAAAAAAAAAAAAAAAAAGAAAGAAAAAAAAAGAAAGAAAAACAAAAACAAAAAAAAAAAAGGAGCCCTCAATGGTCAAGTTGGTGCTCGAGTTGCCGCGCGAGAGGCTGCATCCAATGTCCGTGATGACGATCGTCTTGGCCGGGTTGATCTTCTCTTTCAGGTGAGCTCTATACTTAGTCTTAACAAGGGCCCTGCGCCGTTGGTCTCCTTTAGTAGCTCCTTTCGGGGGGAGTGCCTTCGGGTCGTCTGACGGCGATGCCACCAGGATCTCTGCCTAGGTCCTCTTGAAAAAAAAAAAAAAAAAAAAAAGAATAAAAAAAAAAAAAAAGAAAAAAAAAAAAAAAAAAAAACAAAAAAATAAAAAAAAAAAAAAAAAAAAAAAAAGAAAAAACAAAAAAAAAAAAAAACAAAAAAAAGAAAAAAAAAAATAACAAAAAGAAAAAAAAAAAATGAAATGAAAAACCACAAAAGTAAAAAAAAAAAAAAAAAAATAAAAACAATACAAAATAAAAAAAAAGAAAAAAAAAAAAAAAAAAAAAATAAAAAAAGAAAAAAAAAAAAAAAAACAAAAAAAAAAAAAAAAAGAACAAGAAAAAAAAAAAAAAAAAACAAAAAATAAAGAAATAAAAAAACTAAAAAAAAATAAAAAAAAAAAAAAAAAAAGGGGCCACAGGCTTCGGCCACGTGAACGGCTTCGCCCACCCGTCGCGGCACGCGACCATGAACAACCTGTGCCGATGATGGGGGACACCATGATCTTCGCAGTGTAGCGTCTTCACTTGCACGGTGTAGCGGAGCGCCTCCAACTCGGCCTTGATCTCTCGCATCACCCACCTGTGCTGCTTGATCTTGATGTTTGGCACCATCTCGTACGTCACAAGCTTCGGGGTGCGATTCGCAATGTATGCCAAGCTGTGCCGAAACAGCGCGTCGCGTGCATCGTCTCCTTCGACAGGTCGGCCCGCAACTCCTTCGGCAGAGAACGACTGGCACGGCGGGGAGAAATGGTAGTAGTCTACTTCTGGAACAAGCGAGTGGTCTCTCTGCTCGATGTCGTCGTATAGATGCTGGGCGGGCATCGCGGCGGCGTTGAAGCGCTGGACCGCCGGTTCCTTGTCGCAAGAAAACACGTGATCAACAGGTGCGCCGAGTTGCCACAACGCAAGGGGTGGTGCATTGAGACCCGTAAAGTCTGTACCTAACCGAATCTTCACCATCAAGGCGTGGACGCGGAGGGTGCAACCATCGCAGTAACGCACCAGCTGACTGGCTGCGTCGGGGCCAGAAAAATGGCGAGGGCGGGGGAAGGGGGGGGCGGGGGCGGGGGCGGGGGCGCCCCAGTGTGCTCTAGGAGAATGTTTCGTTCTGGAGGATATCTGATCTCGAAGGGGGTGGCTTGAGAGAGAGCGAGAGAGAGATAGAGAGAGAGAGAGAGAGAGAGAGAGAGAGAGAGAGAGAGAGAGAGAGAGAGAAAGCCCGGAGGAGCCCACCCCGGAGCTCTCAACACTCGGCGGCGTCGCCGATCGCTGAGTGGGCTGGATCGGCGACGCCGCCGAGCGTCGAGGGGGATCCCCGATGCGTCCACCCCCGGGCTCTCAACATCGCCGGCGTCGCCGATCGTTGAGAGAGCCCGATCTGCGACTCCACCCCCGACCGAGCTCTCAACACTCGGCGGCGTCGCCGAGGGCCGGATCGGTGGCCCCTCCGAACGTTGAGAGCTTCGGGGCTGCCACCCCCGAGCTCTCAACGCTCGGCGGCGCCGCCGAACGTTGAGAGCCCCGGGGTAGAGAGGTCATGGGAGAGGGTCGAGTGTTGAGAGCCCGGGGGTGGCGTCTGGACGACGCCTTACCCCGGGGCTCTCAACGTTCGGCGGCGCCGCCGAGCGTTGAGAGCTCGGGGGTGGCAGCCCCGGAGCTCTCAACGTTCGGAGGGGCCACCGATCCGGCCCTCTCCTCAATCAGCGACGATCGGCGACGCCTCAGCGATCGGCGACGCCGCCGAGTGTTGAGAGCTCGGCGAGCGTCACCGATCGGGCCCTCAGAGATCGGCGACGCCGCCGAGCGTTGAGAGCTCGGGGGTGGCGTCACCGACTGGGCTTTCTCAACGATCGGCGACGCCAGCGATGTTGAGAGCCCGGGGGTGGACGCATCGGGGACCCCCCTCAACGCTCGGCGGCGTCGCCGATCCAGCCCACTCAACGATCGGCGACGCCGCCGAGTGTTGGGAGCTCGGGGGCGGGCGCCTCCCCCCCCCGGGCCTCCCCCCTCAGCGCTCGGCGGCGGCAGCCCTCATCGGTCGGCGACGCCGCCGAGCGTTGAGAGCTCGGGGATGGAAGCCTCTGGGCCCTCTCTCAGCGCTCGGTGGCTCCACCAACCTAGCTAGCGGCCCACCAGGGAGCTCAGGGGCGCGGCGGTTCTCGAGAAAGTGCGGAGGGGGTGGAGAGGGGGGGGGGATGTGCAAGGAACGAGGGGCAGGGGGGCGGGGAGAGAAGGGTGCGGGTTCGGAAGGGATGTGACGTTCAGACCGCTGGCCCCCCTTCGCCCCGTGCCCTGCCGACCGCCAGGATCTCGCGATCTTCCGCGGATGAGCTACGACTGCCACTGCTACTGCGTCGAGGAGGATTGCCCGCTCCACGGTTGAACGCAACACTTCTGGACACGCTCGACGGGGCTGGTTTTTGGGTCACAATCGGCTTGGATTTCGCCCCCCGGAGCTCTCGCGCCAGATCCTGGGCACCCCCTGCGCGCCGAAGCCATCCGCGGGGCTCCCGAGGCCCAAAGCGGCCCTTCAGAGGCACCCGCAGTCCCCAGAGAGTCCAGAAGAAGTTGTGTCCTCCAGCGGCATCCCCCCCCCATTTTTTGTTCGTCATCATTGTTGTTCCCATTTCTCCCCCTCCTCGCCCTCTCCTCCTCCTCCTCCCCCTCCATTGCCCGTAAGGATCACGTTATTATTGCAGTTGTCCCGCGGTTGTGAAGAGCGGGCCTGGATGGGGGAGGGGAAGAGCTACCCCAGGTCACATGGCGTCGCGCATCGCGGTGCGCGATGCGCGACGCGCGGTTTTCCTCGTCGCGCCCTTGCGCCGTCGCGCCGCCCTGATGGGGAACGAATCCCGCTCTTGCCCAGACGACGAAGCACGAAGCGCGGTTATCTTCGCGCCTCTGTCTGGGGGTGACCTAGGCCACAGTTACAACAATAGACAAACCCCGCCACACTGTGTTTTCGCGGCACCCCGTGGCCCCACCTCGAGCGTGCCTGCGCAGCGCTGCTTGCAACGCCTACACATCAGAAATTCAAAATACCACCGACGCCATACCGAGAGCTCGATTCGTCAACACGCGAGAAACGAGATATGAACTCGGGCCCCGTGAGTGACGACCCAGCTGGGAAATCATGAGATCGGTGTGCCGTATCAGCCGACGTCACCAACGCCAACACAAAC